TTTTTTGTTCCAGCCCCGGCGACCGCAGCCCTACTGTACCGTTTCGGGCTCGCCTCATCCACTGCCAGTTTTTCCAGCCCTGGCCACCTCTACGTTCACCGGCTTTCCAACTTCCATTTTGTCCAGCTTCCGTTTACGTTTCCGGTCGGTCCGCGTCGTGTCGACCTGCGGCGACCCCGCCGCCGGCGCTCAAGGCTGACGGCCGCCAGCGACCTAAGGTCGGCCGACTTTCGTCCGATCGTCCAAGGCTGACGTTTCGCAGGCGGCCGATCGTCCAAGGCTGAAGGGTCCCCACGGCGCGTCAGGAAGCGACGCCGAAGTCGGCACGACCCGAACCTGCCGTACGCCTCTTCTTTCTCTTCTTCTTGTTATCAGTATTATTTTTTTTGTCGTTACCGTTCATCTTCTCTTTTTTAATTATGAGTATCCGTATTATTGGTATTATTCTTCTTACTTTTATTATCATTATTATTACTATTATTATTCTTCTTATTATTATGTGTATTATTGTTCTTCTTATTATTACTTATCTCCTTCCTCCACTGGAGGCGCTGACGTTCGAGGTCCGGCCAGGCGAGCCGCTCCTCGTCACGGGCCCGAACGGGTGCGGGAAGACCGCGCTCGTGCGCGTGCTCGCGGGCACCTGGCCCTGCGGGAGCAGCGCGTCGATCGCCGTACCGCGGGGCGGTGTCGTGGCGGTTCCGCAGAGCCCGTACCTGACCGTGGGAACGCTCGGGGACCAGGTCTTGAATCAAGCAGTGGCGAAGCGTCCTGGCTCGCATACAGGCCCACCAAAGAATGTTCTAAGAACCTCTTGTGGTCTGCGCGAGATGTTCTTAGAGTATTTCGTATTTCTGGCTGGGACTGCCCTATTTGAACACGTCGGGGGTATGTTCTCAGAACGTGGCATTTGTTCGTCGAACTTTTTGAGGTTCCAAGGACATGTCCTGGTAGGCTTATAGAAATGCCGGGACGGTCGGTCCTGGTTCAATTGAAGGGAGGGAAGAATCAGTCGGACCCCATCATTGGCGCTTACTTGATTCAAGTATTTTTGGGTAAAACAATCAAGAAAAAACTCGGCTCAAGTTCAGAGGAGACACATGTACCCATACCGCTACCCTTTGCCCGTTTTCCCTCTTCTTCGGCCTTCTGGGAGGCACTCGTCGCCACCGCTGGATTCGCCTCGAAATCCTGGTCGGAACGCACCCTGGGAGAGGTCCGGGAAGTAGCAGTATCAGTACCTCTTGGTTTCCCCACAAGTGTGATGAAGATTTGGCTCACTTTTTTGTCACAGTCAAGGACCAGGTCTGAAAGGGAGGGATAAAGATTCCCCGACCCCCATCATTGGCGTTTACTTCGCGGCCCTGGGCGTTCAAGAAGCAGCCCTGCCCGGTTCGATACCGTCCGTGGGTGCGTTTCTTAATCGGCTTCGCTTGCCGTGGTGCTTATTCTCTTGCACAGCTGTTTTCTAGAGCTCGGACCTCTTTATTTTCGTGGTTCGTGGTTCGTCCTCCTCCCCTGGTTCGTCCTCTTCCCCCGGCCTCCCCCCTGGCTTCCTGGCTCCCCAGGGCCTCCCAGGGCAGCTCCCTTGGGTCGCGGAATCCTTTATGTTGGTGGTTCGTGGCTCGTCCTCCTCCCCCTGTCCTTCGTTTTCTCACCACTTACCAAACCACCCCAACCCAACCCGAAGGCCTCAATTTGCCCTCCATTTCCAGTGGGGGGGGGTCGGGGAATGTTGAGAAAACACATGTAACCCGTACCCCCCCCAACCCGAAATTGGGGTCAAATTCGGGTCTTCGGGTTGGGTTGGGGTGGTCTGGTAGGTAGTCATTTTCTGACTGTGCAAGAGCCAGGGCACGCGTGCCACTTATTTCTGTGGGTGGTGCCTCCGTCTCCACAGGTCTGCTACCCTCACCGGTTCGTCCCGCGCCGGGACCGCGAGCGGGCGCTCGCGGCCCTGTCGGCCGTCGGCCTGGCGCACCTGCTCCACCGCGCGGGGGAGGCTCGGGACGAACGAGTCTGCACGAACACACATCGGCGTCACCCCAGCATACTTCTACTATATGTGCGTCGCCCCCGCAGGGGCGACGCGCTCACCGAGAAATCTGATAGTGTGTGCGTCGTGGCGGGCGCTTTTTCCGGCCACACCGCTCGGGAAACGATATGCTACAAGATGGGTATACTACATGTTCGGGTCGGACGCGCGCCTCCAAGGAGGACATGTAGTATTAGTATGTCTCTGTGCGTCCCAACACAGACAAGTGCAGATTTTCTTCACAACCTGCGAAGAACATGGGAGATGGAGGGGAAGAGGAAGCTCCAGAAGATATGGAACAAGCTGGGAAATCCCGGAACGCGTGCCGAGTTACATGTGTCCCCCGGGGCCCCTTCGGAGTCCAGTTCGATCCGATCGATCCGACTCGATTCAGATTACTAGCTTCGGTAAGTTCGATCCGAGTCCGATTCCGATATTCTAAACGGTCCGATCCAGCCCGATGCCTACTTGGCGCTGTTGTGCATCCTGGCGCAGCCGATCCCACTCGACTTCGGATCCGTGCCAATGCAGCCCGCTCCAACGCGCACTCCGATTCGATCCCCAGACCCCCGACGTCATGATTTTGTCATAACGTGGACCCCCACAGGTCTCGACTCCAGACCCCTTCCCAGGGACCAGCTTTTCGTCCTGAGTCGTTATCTGATGCTCCCGAGGCCTGGCAAGGGCCCCAGAAGCAGAAAAGCATCCCGTCATGATTTTGTTCACGACGCGAGGGGTCTGTCGGCGGCGAGCGAGGGGGGGAAGTGAGAAGGAGAAGGCCTTATCAGAAGGCGGCGGGACTTCTCAGAAGCCCTCGCGCATTCGCGAAGTGTTCCGTGCATTCGGGGGAGGATCTGGAAAAAACTCGCCCGATGGGCAGGGGGGACTTCCAAGCCTTCTGAGAAGACCTTCTCCTCTCCATTTTCCCCCTGGGCTCGCCGCCGAGTCTGGGTCCGACTTCCCAATGCGACGCTGCGAAGCTGACCGCTCCTCCTCCTCCTTCTCCTCCTCCTCCTCCTCCTCCTCCTCCTCCTCCATCTCCTCCTCCTCCTCCTCCTCCCTCCTCCTCCTCCTCCTCCTCCTCCTCCTTCCCCTCCCCCTCCTCCTCTTCCTCCTCCTCCTCCTCCTCCTCCTCCTCTCCTCCTCCTTCTGCTCTCTTCCTCGTTCTCCTACCCTCCTCCTCCCCTCCTTCCTCCCTCTCCTCCTCCCTCCTCCCTCCTCCTCACAACCCTCCTCTTCCTCCCCTCCTCCCTTCCTCCCTCCTCCCTCTCCCCCCACCCTTCTCCCTCCTTCCTCCTCCCTCGCTCCCACCTCCCTCCTCCCTCCTCCATCCTCCCTCCCTCCTCCCTCCTCCCCCTCCCTCCTCCCTCCTCCCTCCTCCCCCTCCCTCCTCCCTCCTCCGCTCCAGTGGGGCCAGACCCCGCCCCCACTGGGGCGATGCCGGCGAAGGCGGCCTGGGACCACCGCTGCGCCTGGGAGGAGGTGCTCTCCGGCGGGGAGCAGCAGCGCCTCGCCCTGTGCCGCGTGCTGGTGCACCGGCCGGCGCTCGCGCTCCTGGACGAGTGCACCTCCATGGTGGCCGCGGACGCCGAGGAGCGACGCTCGGCGGCGAGCCGCGGGGGGGGGGGAAGCGAGAAGGAGAAGGCCTCGAGGCGGCGGGACCTCGCAGAGGCCCCGTGCCCTCGGGGAAGGCTCGGGAGACTTCTCGGCAGGCCGGGGGGCTCCTGAGCCGTCTGAGGAGGCCCCGCCCCCTCCCACTTCCCCCAGAATGTGTCAGAGCATCTGGCAGAGCCCCGAGGCATCAGGGCTGGGGGCGGTCAGGGGTAGCTACAGATTCGCGCCTCGGGGGTCCACACCAGAGTTGCCCCGGGCCGCAGTTGTCTTGGATAGCTCGGGCATCCAGCCCGCCCGAATCGTCAGGGCTGGGTGCGGCCAGGGGTATCTATACATGCACGCCTCGGGGCCCAAGCTGGAGCTACCCCGGACCGCAGTTATCCTGGACAACTCGGGCGTCCAAATCTGCGCCGACGAACCCAGAACCCCTCGGGCCCTGGAAAGATCATGGAGGGTAGGCTTTTCGGTATTTCCGGCCCCTGGGGGCCCTCGGCGGCCCTCGGGGCCGTCCAAACACGGCTCGGGATGAAGAGCAAGGGCTTCGCCCCCTGCCGCCGGCCCCATCTCTGTCACAATAGGATAGATCAGAGTCGCGTCGGTGCGTCTCGGCGCTGCCTTGAGCAAGGGCTTCGCCCCCTGCCGCCGGCCCCATCTCTGTCACAATGGGATAGATCAGAGATCAGAGTCGCGTCGGTGCGTCTCGGCGCTGCCTTGGCACATCTGGGAACATCATGCGGGGGCGGATAGGAATCATCAGCACATATTGAGACGTTGGCGTTCTCGAAGACGCCTACGGCGAATCACCGCCGCCCCCTGCCCTTGTGGAAGCGCCTATGTGGCCGACAGCTGGCTTAGAGCTTGTCCCAGCTATCGGGCAGAACACTTGGGGGAGGATGGCGGGGAAGATCAGGAGGAGGAGGTGGAGAAGGAGGAGGAGGAGGAGGAGGAGGAGGAGCAGAAGGAGGAGGAGGAGAGCAGAGAGAGGAGGAGGAGGAGGAAGGAGGAGGAGAGGAGGAGGAGGAGGAGGAGGAGGAGGAGGAGGAGGAGGAGAGGAGGAAGAAGAGACAAAGAAGAGGAGGAGGAGGAGGAGGACGAGGAGAGAGAGACGAGGGGGAGGAGGAGCAGGAGGAGGAGAGAGAGGAGGAGGAGGAGAGAGGAGGAGGAGGAGAGGGGAGGAGAGGAGGAGGAGGAGGTGGAGGAGAGGAGAGAGGAGGAGAGGGGGGCATCTTGGGAGCCTCTGGGGGCACTCTTGGGGCCTCCTGGGGGCTTCCTGGGTGCCTTTTGGAGGCATCTTGGGGGCCTTCTTGGGCTTCTTGGGGGCCTTTGGGGGCTTCTCGGGGGCCTCCCTGGCGGTCTCAGGGCATTCCTGGCCCGTACGACGCCGTCGGAAGCAGTCTTGGGGGCCTCTCTGGGCCGACTTGAAAGCTCTTGGAGTGCTCCAGGGCCGTCTCGGAGGCCATCTTGGGCGTCTTGGAGGTCTCTTGGGTTGTCTGGGGGGCCCTCTTGGGGCTGTTTTGGGGGCCTCTTGGGCCGTTCTGGAGCCTTCCTGGAGGCCTCTCGGGCGATCTTTCGGAGCTCTTGGGCCGTCTCGGACCGTCGGAAGGCCGAACAAAGAAGCAAATGCCAACATCTTTCAAACATCAAATGACAACCCATGCTTTCGGCATCTTCGGGCCTTCCTGGAGGCCCTCTTGGGGGCATCTTGGGCCGTTTTGGAGCCCTATTGGGAGCCTCTTAGGCCGTCTTCAGCCATCTTAGAGCCATCTTGGGCTGTCTTGGTGGGCTCCTGGCCCGTCTGACGCCGTCGGAAGCCGCCTTGGGGGCCTCCCTGGGCCGACTTGAGGCCCTCTTGGGGTGCTTCAGGACCGTCTGGGAGGCCATCGTGGGCGTCTGAGAGGTCTCTCTGGCCGTCTTTGTGCCCTCTTGAGGCGCTCTTGGGTGCCTCTTGGGCCGTTATGGGGCTAGCTTGGTGGCTTCTTTGGCGATCTTGGTGCGATCTTCGGGGGCTCTCAGGCCGTCTCTGGCCGTCGGAAGGCCGAAAAGAAGCAAATGCCAAACTCCATCCAAAACCTAAGGACAATCAATGATGTTTGCCTCTTCGGGCTTTCCTGGAGGCCCTCTTGAATGCTTCTTGGGCCGTCTTGAGCCACCTTGGGCCGTCTTCGTGGGCTCCTGACCCGCCTGACGCCGTCGAAAGCCGGTTGGGGACCTCTCTGGGCCGATTTATGGCCCTCTTGGAATGCTCCAGGGTTGTCTTGGAAGCTCTCTTGGGCGTCTTAGAGGCAGTCTTCGGGCCCTCTTGGGGCCGTCTGCGGAGCCTCTTGGGCCGCTCTGGGGCCATCTTGGAGGCTTCTTGGGCGATCTGGGGGCGATATTTGGTGGCTTTCGGTTTATCTCTGGCCGTCGGAAGGTCGAAAATTAGCAAATGTCAAAATCCTTTAAAAATCTCAGGAAAATCAATGATGTGGGCCTTTTCGGGCCTTCCTGGAGGCCCTCTTGGAGGCATCTTGGGCCGTCTTGGGCCATCTTAGTCCCATCTTCGGCCGTCTTGGTGGGCCCCTGGCCCGTCTGACGCCGTCGGAAGCCATCTTGGGGGCCTCCCTGGGCCGACTTGGGGCCCTCTTGGGGTGCTTCAGGACCGTCTTGGAGGCCATCGTGGGCGTCTGGGAGGTCTCTTGGGCCGTCTTGTGGCCCTCTTGAGGTGGTCTTGGGGGCCTCTTGGGCCGCTCTGGGGCTAGCTTGGAGGCCTCTTGGGCGATCTTGGGAGGCTATTGGGCCCTATCGGGCCGTCGGAAGGCCGAAACGAAGCAAATGTCAAAATCCTTCGGAAACCTAAGGAAACATCTGTGTTGTTTGCCTTTTCGGGCTTTCCTGGAGACCCTCTTGGAGGCCTCTTGGGCCGTCTTGGGCCAGCTTCGAGCCAACTTCGGCCATCTTGGTGGGCTCCTGGCCCGTCTGACGCCGTCGGAAGCCGTTTGGGGTGCCCGTCTGGGCCGACTTGGGGCCCTCTTGGTGTGCTCCAGGGCCGTCTTAGAGGCCATCTTGAGCTTCTTGGAGGACTCTTGGGTCGTCTTTGTGCCCTCTTGGGGCCGTCTTAGGGGCCTCTTGGGCAGTCCTGAGGCCATCTTGGAGGCCTCTTAAGCGCTGTGGGGGCGATCTTGGGGCCTCTTGGGCCGTCTTGGGTCGTCGGAAAGCCGAGAAGAAGCGAACGCCAAAGTCCTTCAAAAACCTAAGGCCTCTTCGGGCCCTCCTGGAGGACCCCTTAGAGGCCTCTTGGGCCGTCTTGGAGGCCTCTGGGAGGCCTCTTGGGCCGTCTTGGGCCGTCTTGGACTCTTTTGGGCCGTCTGGGAGGCCGTCTTGGACCATCTTGGGCGGATTTGGAGGCCATCTTTGTGGGCCAACGTGGCCATCTTGGAGGCCATCGTGGGCCATCTTGAGCGAAAAATGTAGGAATTGTGCTCCTTTCTGGGTGGCCGGCAGGACGCGCCGGAGCCCCAGGGGGAGTTCTTCTGGAAAAAGAACCAAAACCAAAACCGAGAGGATTCAGCACGCCAGGCACACCTGCGATGAATCGACAGGGGGCGGCGGATCATAGTGGCCTTCGGCCGATCCAGCCACCGTGCCTGAGTTGAAGGTCTGAGACCTCTTGTGTATATATATATATATAGAGAGAGAGAGAGAGAGAGAGAGAGAGAGACAGAGAGAGATAGATAGATAGATGTTGGGGTGTCGTGGGGAGCCGCAATAGGGCCTTTTGGAGGCGGTTTGGGCGCCGCTTGGGGGCCTCGTGGGGTATCTTTGGGCCTCTTGGAAGCATCTTGGGGCCTCTCGGGGCAGAAATATTGAATGTT